GCATAGGCAATCTGTGGTGGACCACTGTGCAGCAGAGGATTCTGATGATTTTCTAAGAGATTGTTAGGAGTTCTGCGGATGTTGAATTGCTTACCACCATCATCATTACCACCGTCATATCACTCTCACAAGTCAACTACTGTTGAACAAAGGCCTCTGCAAGGAAAGCCATAAAGCAGGTCCTGAGCCATCTGCATCCACCGACTTCCTGCATCTCTTACCACTCATCATGCATCGGTCGTCGCACCATTTAGTAATTTATAGAGAGGTTTGTGTGCAGTAGTGAACTTTTTTTTCTAATTTATTAAACTTCGGACCACAAACAAGTTCACAAATATCAACTTATCTAATGTAATTACTGCACATTAGTTATTATTGTGAACTCAGCAACGCTGATCACTAACTTAAGTATTACAGTTTTCAAAGATAGATGAAGCTTATTGCAAAGTATACCTATACATTGACAATATCTTGTTATTTTTAATTAAGAATTAAAGTTTACACACAGAATCGACTAACAAACATTGTAGGGTTATGGTAGTAAAATAATTTCCTTTAAATGTACTGTATAGTAGTGCCGCCAACGCCCGAGCGATAAGACATTAAATTTTTCTTAAAAAATGAGTTTCACCAGACCAGAAACTGATAAACCAGGTGGCCCAATATCCCGAACTGTACGTTCCCTCACTTCCTCTGCATTTCAACATAGGACGTGTGTCTTTTCGTCTCTTCTAATTTATACTTTAATAATAAAAGCAAGTTATCATCGTCTCCTTTCTCTTCTTTCATTTTCAAACACATCATGTCCTACTGAACACTCGGAACAGACTGGACACGGGCTGCTGCCGTCTGCAGTCGGGTTCGGAATCGTGACCGCAGCGACATGACGCCACAACATGTCGCAGCAACATGTCGCGGCGACACGTCGCCTGCTGCTGCTGCCTGCAGTCGGGTTCGGAATCGTGACCGCAGCGACATAACGCCACAACATGTCGCGCTGCGGCGACACGTCGCCTGCTGCTGCTGCCTGCAGTCGGGTTCGGAATCGTGACCGCAGCGACATAACGCCACAACATGTCGCAGCAACATGTCGCGGCGACACGTCGCCTGCTGCTGCTGCCTGCAGTCGGCTACGGAATTGCACCTTTACGTTCCGCGGTGTTAAGAGCCTTGTTGCAGATTTTAAGTTGGACTTAGGCATTTCAAATAGTAAATATTGCCCTATCTTTTACTTCGTACTTTAGTACATTCATCTTCCCTCTTCAATAAGTCGTTTTTATTACAGCCTTATGCTTGTGGAATAAGACTATATGGTAGATCCTTGGCTCTACGTAAAAAAAATACGTGTTACTTTATTTTATTTACAAGGTACATTCAGTAAGTTTCGATTCAATCGCTCCGTAAAATGAAAACATTTATACAAACTAACATCTCTTTCAACCTCTTATGGGTGTAACTTTTCAAAATCTTTTCCGTTTTCACGCGTCTTTGTCGTACCCTGGGGGCGGCTTTTTTATAATATTTTTTATATGTACCAACCTTTCATATCTTAAGGGTATATGTTGGAAAAATATAAAAAAATGGATATTTTATTACTTTAATTCAAGAATATTTGTACCAATTTTAGGATAAAAATAACCAATAATTATTTTTCCTCCATACAAATTTGAACCTTTGCTGCCACCCCGTTACCCGTTATTGTTAAGAAAAATCGCAAAATACGTGTCCATTTATTTTATTTACAGTTTTTCGAATCAATTTCCCTGTTAAATAAAAAGTATCATACAAACTGTAACATCCTATTTACACCCTCTTAGAGGTTGATTTTTCAAAATCCCTTCTTAGTGAATACCTCCATCATAAAAGGAAGCTATTTCAGATTTCTAGGTATAGCTATACTTGGGCTATGCGTTGATTGACGAGTCAGTCATTTAGGACTTTAGGTTTTAATTAAATAGAAGATATTTTCGTCATTTATTAACTTCTCAATAATTTTAAAAAGGATGAAAATTTTAAGGTCACTTAAGTTCAACGGGATAAATGTGCACGTTGTACATGTACAATTTGGCGATATATTAGAATATAATTATTATTTTAGAAACAAGATTGTACCTATATCATGAACTTTGTGGTGAGCAACGGGCCCAATATAGATCCCAGCTCAGATGAAGTAAAAAGTTTTTTTACTTCATCTGTTGGATCCAAGGATCCCAGTTACTTGTACCTGTAATGAACGTAGAGAATCATTATAATAGGTTTCCGCGTATGCTATTTTGACTCAGGTTCCATCAAAGGCCTTACGAAAATCCGTGTAAGCAGTACCAATTTGTATTCGTTTGTCCATCATACAGAAAAAGCGTAAATAAAGCAGCTTATAGGCAAGCCCCATGGGATGCTTATAAAATGTCTGATTAATAAAAACCTCGAATGTTTTGGTACAAACCAGATATATCGATACTCAGTATATGAATAATATTATATTCAGTTATCATGTTTTTGTTTTTCCTTTAATACAAACATTCAGAAATCGGTAAGAAAAACACGGTAGCTTATAGAAATTCTTTATTTTCGTTTATAATTGTTAAACATGTTACCTTATGAGTTAAACTGCAATTACTATTTATTGAGTACATAACTTTAGCAAGGATAAAATTTTGATTTATTTTTAATGCCAATAACTGGCCTTTATAAAAGTAAATATCACAGTTATTATTAAATTATTTGTGACCGAAAGAAATTGTAAAACGTCTACTACAGTCTATACTAAAATAATGAGCGACTTGAGAGGTAAAAAAATGCTTAAAAGTACAAGTCACCTCTACATATTATGTTACTTATAGTAATGTCTATATTACTAAGAATATTTAATATAATAATAATCCACACTTTATATTTTTTCTGCTGATTGCACAAGAGTATTATTAATATACATAATTAGCAAAATTGTAAATAATCGAGTAGGTTATATATATTATAATATGGAAGAAGAACATTCGGCTTACAAACGAATGCTTTGCTACATTAGACATTAGATACAGAGATATATTTAGATCAGACACAACAGCAAGATATAAAAATATTAAGTTGAATTTATTCTGTACAGTAACTAACTATAATAAGCACCATTTTCATACCATATGGCTTCCGTTCTTTTCCATTCATTAATTGGCAACACAAGCAAACGTGTTGTTAGTGTCTTATATCTTTAACAAGTCTCATAAGGCCATATATTTTATTTTTAAGCTACCATTCATATAATGTTGATGAGTAAATATTTAATTACCACACTGACAATAACTATGTCTGACTAATATAATTTACAAATTACAGAATATGTGTACCTCTTTTAACCAGCATAAGAGATATGAGAACTATAATCATAGCTCAATATTATTAAATATTTTACACCACAAATCATTATACTAAGGGTAATTAGCTTTATGTCTACTAAGGCATTCTGTGGATATAATCTGTGTAGTAATTTTGTAAATCTAGGGCTGTATAAAAATACTTTTTGGTATTTGGAAACCAATACTCGGTATACCAGCTGATAATAATGAGGTCAAAAACATGCAGTATTATTATTACTGTTACGATATTTTACTATAGTTATAATTTAAAAAAATTAAAAATCTTTATTTTTTTTTGTAGTATTCTACTAGTACACTAGAGGATATCCGAGTGAGACAATTTTATTAACTTCAAAATGTTCATAGTACATATTTAAATTACTTAAAATAATAAAAAAAGAGAACATTGGCATTTTTATATATAGTTTGTATTGTGAACAAAAAGTTTTAGGGCCATTTTTCATAGAAAAAACAGAGAAAAAGAGAAAAAAGAAGAAAACAGAAGAGAAAACTTTTGTATAGACAATCTACTAAAACGTCGCCGATTAAAATGTCTGCTGTTGATACCCTGCTGTTGATAGTTGATCAATTCGGCACATAAATTTAAAGAATAATATTCAGTATATTCAGAGTATTACAAACTGTAATTAATGATTATAAATCCGTTGTATTCAGTTGGTAACTGGACGTTACATACGACCAGTATTATCAGTATATACCTAGTGTATATTCTAAGCACATGACATAATTAAAACACAGGACTCAAGTCTTAGAAGCGCCACCTAGTGGTCGTAATTACTTTAACCCTTACTATGCAATAAGTAGATAGCATAATTTTTAGGATGAATACAACACAAACTGTACAGAAGCTAAATAAATGGTGTTATGTACCTTACATCATAAAAACCAAGCACTCGATCATGTTGAGATCAAAATGTACATATAATATTAAAATTATGCTTCATCTACTAGAATTATACTAACGCGTATTACATACAATACGAACGCGGCAATAAATACTAAGAAGGGCAATGCAACGTTTGCGCATTTATGTTAATTATTAAATCTAATATTTTTCAGACATACAATCGATATGTACTTGTTGACTCATTTGGATTATCGGCGAATGCACATTTTAATTTACTAAATTGTTGCGGCTTAGATATTAGCTTTGTTATTTTTGATAATATGTGGCGATAAAGGCGCAAAATCTCAGAATTTTTTGGGAAAATGTTACAAAAATGTTTTTGTTAAACATTGTATTTATTATAAATTATTGCATAAAAATAACGCACATTTTAAAAGAATATCATTGCTGTTTTTGTTCTAGTTAAAGTCTTAGCGGATTTTAAACGAATAAAGGTGCTACTGATGAAGGTTTTGAGCTATGCTTGTGATTTAAGTAGCGCGGAAGTAACTGTGTATGGAATGCATACAGTCGCACAGGGTCGTTTAATTTTAAATAGGTTTATTATAATCAGTCGTATCGAGGGATGGTTTCGAGTATATAGTAGCGTGGGGGAGATAGATGGGAGAGTTGTGTGTGGTAGCGACGGAGCTGGGTGAAAGCAACGTAGAGCCGGGCGCGGGCAGCGGTCTGAAGACTGTGTGTACACAACGCGGCACAAGTTTGTTTCATTACAAATAAGTTTAACATAAGACGTATCGAACGATAGTAGCGAGTATAAGTAACGCGGAGAATACGAAAGCTTCGGTGTGTGGTGTAGCGGCGGAGCTGGGAGACCGCAACGTGGAGCCGGGCGCGGGCAGCGCTTTATAGGGCGCGCGCCGGCCTCCACGCTCGGTGGGGCAGCTCATCCAGACCGGCGCTGAAAGTTTTTGCTTCTCGTGCTTCACGCGCATTTGCAGATCGTTGAATTCCCAGTAGCCTTTGCCTTTGAAGAAGTACGTTTTGCCTGCAGATAGGTACCATTATTAATATTATATTTTTGAAAAAAAAATTCACATATCATAATAAATTCAGATTTGCATTTATATATTTATACATCGCGTCGTTTCTTTTACAATGTGCCATCGTGAAGAACAAGTTTTTAATTGGTAAGTTTATTATCAAGTTCTTAATTAGCGAAATAATGCAGGTTATTTTTTGTAAATTTTGTTTTTATGAACATTATAACAAAGTTCAAAAGTCCTATACAGTGAACTTTTAAGTATTTTCTAAACATAAGGAAACAATTACTGCGTGATAACTGAGTAATTAATTCATCTCTGGCGATAAACTTCTGAACCTAGGCTTGGCCGTTTTATATTATGCCATTCATTAGTTCTTTCATTTATTTATTATAGCGTGTCAATGTTCACTGCTGTACACAGGCCTTCCTATTGATCGCCTCATAAGGGTGATGTTTTCCATGGCCACGCTTGGTTTGGCTTGGTTTGGCTTGGCAACTCAACTAAACAACAAACTCGACACAACAAAAACAAATTAGGTATCTAGATGTTATCAGGAAGACGGTGTTGCCTCCTGGTTTATATTCCTCTGTCGATTCTTGCGAAACCCGCGGGGTGATATGGGCTACTGGATATTATTGCACCGCCCCCACATGCTACTACATTTGATCTTTTTTATACTTGTATGGTTATAGTTTGACATTATGTATTTTTTTACTTACTTAAAAAAGACCATGGGTTACATTTAGGCATTTAGGCCATTTGTGCGCACCAGACGGTAAAATTACCGTCCGTAATTTTCATTTTATTTGATCCGATATATCAGGCCACTATTTACTATGCTATAATGCGGCTAAGTTCGAGGATTTATTACGTGATTGAATCCATAACGCGGATTCAATAAACTGGTTTTAAAGTAAGAGTTAGTACAGCCTATATATGTCGCACTGCTGGGCACAGGCCTCATCTCATTTTTGAGAGGGTTTTAGGGCAAGGAAGTGTCCGCCGCGCCGCCCCAATGCGTGTTGGCGAACTTCACACGTCCTCGAAATATTTTTTTTATTTCTCAGACATGCAGATTTCTTCACGATGTTTCTCTCCACCACCGAGTACGTAGTAAATTAGCACTTAACATTGCAATTAACAATTTCATTGGTGCTGGCGGGGATCGAACCCGGGTGGCTCGCGTACTGTCAAATTTACAGCGAGCCCTTACCATCTGCGCTACCACAGCTCTGGTTTACCGGTTAACCGGTTTTATTGAACAGTTTTTGTTTATTACCGTCTTTCCACTGAAATACGCTGTCTATATTGTAACCGACGCCTTTCCACATAGCCATGTCTCGTGGATAATCTAACTCAACATGTCCTACATCTTCGTCAAACCTGAAAAATAATAATAAATATGTTAGTTGAAGTTTGTTGCATTACAAATGCAAATAAATACATACATTCATTCATAAACTCTTACGCCTGTTACCCCGAGGGTAGAAAGAGACTACAGACTTCCATTTGTTGCGATTCTGACACAACTCTCTCGCTTCTTTCACATCCATATACAGGTTTGCTGGTTATAAGAGTATTTTATTCGACCCATATTCAATAAATCACCAATTTGGTCGACAAACTTCCGTCTCGGTTGTCCCTTGCCTAGCCTGTCACTCACTTCTGCAGTATAATTTTCCTTTGTCATTTCCTCCTTCATTTTTTTTTCCTCAATCATTCTTTCTACGCGTCCAAACATATAAATACATAGTTCTAAATAGTCTTCGACTAGTCTTTAGAATACTGCTGTTATTATCATAATATGGGAAGTACTATATCTAAAAACGATTACAGTGACACCAGCGTTTATGCCAATACTATGATAAAAGCGGCAATAGATGATACAATCCGAACTACTGTTGTGATTTACCTTTACACAATTTAAAGCTTATGTGCAGTAATTAATGTGAAAATTATCTACTTAAAATAGCGTGGCGAGCAAAAAATCAAACTATTTGTATGTAGTTGTACAAGTGATTGACGCTTCCAATTAAATTTGTTTTTTTTGTACTAACAAATTATAAATTAGTTTATTAAAACTTACTTCCAATACATTGTGCCACTGTAGAAGTATGTCTTGCCATTGTGTCCCCATACCATAGCAGCGTCCAATTTTTCTAAACTATCAGGTAAACCTAGCTTCACTAAGCGTTTCGGATATCCCGGCACTAAGTACTGGGAGTCAAACAAGTACAGCTCTTTACCTAAAATAAAGTAAAAATAAAGTTTTAGTGTGAATGTTTTCAAACCTTGATACTATAGAGCGTTTGTTAGAAGAACCGACTATGACAACTCTTATTGTTTCATGCATAGGACTGTAAGAACTACGGTAAAAACAAAAGTATATTGACTATATAAATTATAGATCCATAATAATAATCGGTCTTCTCATATTATATGAGATTGCCGTTCTGCAATACTGGCCATTTCAAATAAAAATATTTTTGTTTTGCTAAGAATTCTTATTTCAAATCAATTTTATTAAAAAAAAATGGAATTTTTTTTATCAAAATTAGTCATTTGTTTATTGATTAGCATTATGTTTTCATCGCATTTGAATCTGTTTCGTCATCATGGATACGTTAGAGATTTGAGTAATTATGGAATATGAGTTCCGTTGTGGCAGCAACGCGGCGCAAGCGACACGCAACATCAACGACGCGACGTTCTGTTATTGATTTGCCCGCTTCCGATCTGGAAATTTCGACACGAAAAATAAACACCATGGTCGTCTGAAAACTTTGGTCGACAATGACCAATTAAAGACGATTGTGGAAACTGATGATACTCAATCTACGGCTGAATTAGCAGCAGCTTGCGACGTTAGCATTAAAACAATATTGATCCATTTGCGTCATTATTGGCAAGGTAAAAGAGCTTGACAAATGGATGCTCCACAAACTCAATGATCGCCAGCATGAAGTACGCGTCGAGACGGGCCTTGCACTACTCAACAGGCATACAAACGAAGGAATTTTGATCCGCTTTGTTACCTGCGACTAAAAATGGATTCTGTTTGACAATAGCAAGCACTCAGCAAGTTGGTTGAATCCTGTTCAGCACCTAAACAATGCCCTAAACAAAAAACCTGGAAAAAGATGATCACGGTTTGGTGGTCTAGTGCCGGTGTGATTCATCACAGCTTGTTACCAAACGGGATGAGTATTGCAGCAGATATGTACATACTGTGAAGTACTGAACAAAATGATGGAGAAGCTCGCACGTCTCCAACCAGCTTTGGTCAATCGCTTGTCCCCGCTGCTCCTGCACGACAACGCGCGACCACAACAGACGGTCTCCAAGTTACAAAAGCTGAGGTAGGTAGTTCTCTGTCATCCGCCGTACCCACCAGACCTTGCGCCTACAGACTTCTATTTTTTCCAAAATTTGGATAACTTTTTGGCGAGAATGAAATTCAATATCCGAAGGGCAGTACAAAATGCCTTTGAAAATTTTTTGCCTACCGTCCAGCTGATTTCTTCAAGAAGGACACCAATAAACTGCCAGTGCATTGGCAAAAATGCATCGTTTGCATGGATGATTAATAGAAATAAAAAATGTAGAAAAAAAATTACGTTATCTTATTTCATAAAAAACGGCAATTTCATAGGTAAAGAAGATCTAATATTATTTAATATGTACCCTCAGTCAACTCGTGCACATTTTTTTATAGGATTGGGTGACAAACGAGCTACATCTATCCTCGATTACAAACCAAAATGCAGATGCGTTGTCACCCCTGAGGACTAAGATGAAATGCCTCTTTTCCAGTAAAAAGGGTCTCCGGTTCTCTACACTCACCATACGAAATACAGCAGCATTAGGCTACTATTTCACGCTGGTATTCTGTGAGAGTGTGGTCCTTCCCCGGTCGAGCCGACCTATTCGTGCTACAATTATACTACTAATATAATTGCAGCATGGCTTTACCACGTATAAACACATTGTCTAACATATTGTCTAACTCTAATTTAACAAGTTTAATATAGTTTCCTAGCATTTTCCGAACTGTACCATCGGAGTTCCATGAAATGCCATAATGGTGTAACAAATATCGACCTTGTAAATTAACACGTCTTATAGCAAAATACTCGTACATATCCGAGTCTTATTCCGTGTCAAATTCACAGTAATATAAAGTACCTAAGTTTTCAGTAGGTAATATAATTTTGCTCACAATATATCTAAAACTGTTTAAGGGTGTGTGATCAAAACCGTTAACTATGTGGCTAAAAAGATATATTACATGTGATAACTATTGAAATACGTACCAACAAAGATAGCAATTTTTCTGTCTGGCCTCTCATAAACGGCATCTACGTGTGTAAGATTCTTCGGTAGACCAGACCACATTCTTGTTATCTCAATAGGGTAATCAGGATAATGACCTGAAGCTCCTATCCTCCAATGATACTGTAAATAAAGTACAAATTATTATTTTTAATGGAAATTATTAAATAATTAACTAAAATAAGAAAAAGTAATTGAGCACGAGGATTTTTCTAATTTCGACGAGTTTTCTTTGGTTGCAATTCATTACAAAATCGATTTGATGAAAACTTCATCAAGTATAGCATACACGTTTATGTGTGTGCGCGTGTGCATGTGTTTTTGTCGTATACTTATCATTTTATTTATATTTCCGTGTTCCATTGTTATCACTGCGCTATGGCTTATTAGCAGAGATAAGCTAGCCTTTTGATCTATACATTTTATGTAAGGTTCAATAAATCATAAATAAATTACTTAATTCAAAATACGCCACGGGTCCTTTATTCAGTAGTTGCAGATAATAAAGTCGTACCAATTAAAAAAAAGGCATTAATAGTATCTCTATAAATTTATTATCTTAGTGAATGCAAGTATAATGTAAACCAAATAAACTTACCCTATTTTTAAATATAAATAGTTCGTTGCGAATAAGTGCAACAGCGTCGTAATTAGTGTCACAAGCATCTGGTTTATCTGGTGGTGGTGTTGTATGAGGTGGCGTAACACGCGGCCTCATCGTAGTCTTGACCGGATAATAGGGTTTTTTCTTCGGATAATCTTGGCGCGGATCAGTTGGATAGTTAGGCCTGGGATAACTTGGATACTCAGGACGGATGGTAGGATACCTAGGACGGTATGTTGTAGCGTGAGTGGTAGTTTCAGTTGGTCTTGGATAGTGATTGTGATTTGTGTGGCGAGGATGCTCCTCACTAGTGTTATAGTGACGTCGATCGGGATAATATGATGGTCTTTCGGGATAAGAAGGCCTTTCAGGATAGCTTGGTCGTTCCGGGCTAAACGGTCTCTCTGGATAACTTGGTCTTTCTGGATAGTACGTTGGATATTTGTTTGGATTACGCGGGTATGGAGTATAAGGACGATGGTTTGGATGACGCTCTGGGTGGTAATAGTGATGGTGGTGAATGTATGGTCTTCTAGTTGTCGTTGTAGTGGTAGTTGTAGTGGTAGTGGTTGTTGGTGGAGGGGTTTCTATGGGGCGGTAATAAGGTATCTTTCCCCACTTCCTTTCGTTCTCTTTCGAACCTATAAAATACAATTTGAAAATATTCAGATACTTATTTTGTTTATTACGTAATAAATAAATATTGAATCAATACTTACCATACGTTTGCTGGATGCCATTACGATCGTCTTCTGGTAACACGAAATTAGGTTGGATACCTTGATACCAAGGAAACATAAGTGCGCCTTTAACCGAACTATGGCTTAGACCGAGAGAATGTCCAAATTCGTGGGCAGCCACGGCGAATAACGATGTACCTGTAACAGGAATCAATATTACTAAATGAACTTGAAGTCTATTCAATATACAGTAAGTTTCGTTAACAAAATAATACCACATTTATACATGGTAGAGCCACTCTGCAACTATATTATAGTTGTAGCACGAGTGGATCAGCTCGACCGGGGTATGACCACGCTACCACAAAATACCAACATAAAATAGCAACTCTATGCTGCTGTGTTTCCTCACGGGTGACAGCGCATTTGCATTTTGATTTTTAAGCGAAGGTAAATGGGGATGTCTATGGGCCACATAATCTACTTACCATCGGGTGGACTGTGTGCGCGTTTGTCACCCTATTCTATATAAAAAAAAGATTACTCCACAGCTTTACGACTTATCTACGACTACGATAAATCGCTAAAATTTCTCTATAATCTATATCGTAATCGTATCTATATCGTATCGTAATCGTACAGATAAATAAAATTGAAGTGTCTGTTCATAATATCGAAATAACTGGCTTCGTAAAGCAGGAGTAAATAAATATGTTCATCCGGGCTAATCTTATATCGGAATAGCTAAACCGTTTGTGATGAAAAAACAAATAGATAACAATGCTAGGAGTGGTGTAGGCTATATTATAAATTTTATACAAGGTAGAGCCATGCTGCTAATATAGCTTATTAGTAGTATAGTTATAGCACGAATGGGTCGGCTCGACCGGGGAAGGCCTACGCTCTCACAGAATACCAGCGAGAAATAGTGGCTTAATGCTGCTGTGTTTCGTATGGTGAGTGTAAAGAACCGGAGACCCTTTTTACTGGAAAAGAGGTATTTCATCTTAGTCCTCAGGGGCGACAACGCATCTGCATTTTGATTCGTAATCGAGGATAGATGTAGATGTCTATGGGTCATAGCAAACACTTACCATCAAGTGGACTATGTGCTTGTTTGTCATCCTATCGTATAAAAAAATATTGAAAAAAACATGAATGATTTATGTGATCTTAAAAAATGATAAAATAAATGGTTTTTGATAATATCCTATGAACTGGATAACATATAAAAAATATTCATTGTTTGTAATTTTGGAGAAAAAGCGCTTGCACTTTATCTATACTATCATTTAAAATTAAGGTACAAATCGATTAGTAACATTTTTTTTAACTTCAACAGTTTTCTACAACAAAACTATGATTGCTAAAAGATAAGGTGAGTAGACTTTTTTTCGTGATAGTAAAAGATTTCCAATTTTTATTTTCCCATATCGTACATGATTTTCCAGAGTTTAAAGTGACTTTGCGATAATTGAACTATTTGCTGAAATTAGGTATTATTACACTATTATATCTGCTGGTTTTTGTTTGAGTTTTACGCGGATGAAGTCGTGAGTAAAAGCTAGTTATTAAATAAAAAATGTATGCCATCTTCATCATTATCATTACAACCCTTCAAAAGCCCATTGGTGAATAAAGGAGAACCTTCAAGAACGATCCCCAGCCACCTGCTTGTCTGACCAAGTTATGACTCCATCTTGATCTGCTGGACTTGTTTGGTTGTTCTTGCTCTACTGCTATCATCTGAATATCAGATTCTTACAGATTCTATCACGCAGAGAAACTTCGAGCCCTCTGTATAACTTGTTTAGCGACTTTGATAACCTTCGTAGAGTGTTTTAAATAGTTTAAAAAATGTCCCGATATACAACACGTAACATAATTAACGCACTTTGAGAAAGTAGTCGTTTACTGAATCGATTCCTATCATTTTTAATATAGGTAATTTTTATCCCAAAAATAATTAAAACTACGTACCGTACAGTCACACTAAATCTGTACAGTCAAAACAAACTGAAATGGACCGTAACTTAAGGCAGTAAGACTTTTAAGAGTGCAGTTTTATTTGTATTATTACTAATTCTGGAATTCAATAAAAAAAAGAAAAATGAACTTTATTTCAAGCATGTTAAAGTCTTTGCGTTCGTGAATTTTACTGTGACCACAACATTCTTCCGGAATTAGGTATAACTAATTTGATAAATAATCAGTGCATAAAAATGTTTAACTAAAAATTCAGTGTATGTATTATGATTATAACATAATACTAATTGGGGTGTCTGAGGGTGTGCGTTAATTACGTTACATAGGTATTGTATTTCTAAGTGCCTTAGAATTAATTTGCAATATACAGAAGTTTGAGTAATTTATTCTACTGCTGACATTACAACAATCTTAGTTAGGCTTAATCCACACTTTACAGAAACGATTGCAGGCCTTTTGTCGCTCTAGCTGCGTTCATGTTTGTGTAAATTATCACGCAGGAATATGCGTAACGGGCGTGCCTACTCTGCTGCGGTTGCTCTTCATATTGGGCCGTGCATTGAGCGGATGCATGGATTAATGTGCAGCGGATGTCCTCTGATACTGCAAAACACGTGCACTCGATGTATTCCGTGATGCGATTTTATTCGTTAACTCGTCTCTGTGTTGGCATGCAGTGCTAAGGTTACCTGCGACACTTTTAATAGCTCAACTTGCATCTGCATCTGAGTACCGGTATACTGATTTGTAGTGTTTACCCGTATAAGTTTCCATCTGTGACCCCAAGTAATTGTGATTACATAGCAACATTAGTGTCTATTTATTTATTGATTTCAAATTTTAAATATTAAGCTCGTTGGATATATTGAACCAAAGCAGTGGTGTTTCTAATTAAAATTATCGAGTTAGTTAAACGGTTACTTGAAAAATCGTTATAATGGAAAGCGAACGTTAACAACATAGGTGTGCAAGCAAGCGTTGTTACCGCACCCCGCCATTTGCATGTCAAAACAACGGTGACCGCGACATGCTCATTTCCGAACGAACTTTTCGCGGAAAAACTACGCTTTCGACAGAAGCTTAATTAACTGTCTCATATATGGGCTTTTTCATGTCAAAGTAGGTTTATGTGCCTTTCATTTTACATGTCAGCTTATTGCTTTTGTAAGGTATTGTGTTTTAATTATTATAATTCACAAACATATTATGCACGATATTTAATGAAAAAACGTTTAAAAGTTTCGACTATAATAACAGCGAGGGATTTGCGAAGGAATCAGCTTTCATTTCTGTTATCTTTTTGGATTGTTTTTTTTTTGCTTTGGGCTTATAATAATACCTACCAATTGTACGTATGTAATATTTTTCAAAATTCGTTAAGTAAACAAAGTTACTTTTATATTTTTGAGATTTGAGGTTAGAGAATAGGTTTAAACCTAGATTAAGCAAACCATCATATTGGTTAACGTGTTCTTACCTTCTTCATCATCATTCTTGGGCTGTAGCAGCCATAGTTCATCATCGTCAAAGTGTGCGTCACCGCCGCGTCCCGATCCGGGGAAGAACGCATGCGCAAGGATCGAGCCTCGACCGTCGAAAGGATATGCATCATCGTGGTAGCGCCTGTGAAAAATAAAAATGAATATAGTAAACTATCAAAATCGAGAGAAATATATAGGATATACCTATAATAATAATGTCCAGAGCAAATTTCGGTCGCAGCGGCCGGTCTCAATGGATATTGCTTTGGAGCCATCTGCGCAGGACAGGATTATAGTATCCCAAAGGATGCGTAAGCACTAATACATTATCTATACCCTCACTATCATAATTCAACTAGATCGGAGGAATCCTACGCGACACCAACTGCTTTACCTGTTTTCCGAGGCACGGGGGTGAAACACCGCCAACTTCCTAACTCCGGGCAGCTACTGAGAATTGCTTGACAGAAAAACACAATAACTGATTTTTCGCCCCTCTACGGTTAAGTCTACGATCGCTATCAGTTATCAGTTTATGAACATTTGGTATATCTATCCTATACCTTTAAACGAGCGATTCTTGTATATATATATATATATATATATATATATATATATATATATAATCGGAATCTCGGAAACGGCTCCAACGATTTTCATAAAATTTTGTGTCCAGAGAGTTTCGGGGGCAATAAATCGATCTAGCTAGGATTTATTTTTAGAAAATGTCTTTTTGTCCGTGTTTTAGGCAATGAAAAACCGCTACAATACCGTTAGAATAAAAAGGTAAATTTTGACAGTTTGTTAATGATTATAAATAGCTTAATTGGTATATTGGGCGGTCACAAAATCGTAATACCCTGGTTAGAGACCAGACCGACCGACTTTTTAAAAATTTTTTTGAAGTTCCTTTCTTTTTGGAGAAAATTATTTTTTCGAGCCCTTTTTTTAGTATTTTTTTAAAACACGAAAATTTAAATTAAACTAATTGCACTCATGATTTTTTATTCAAGTAACCAGTTCAGTTTTTTCTATTATGTCGCTAAGATCAAAAAATATTATTCGTATTTTATCAGTATATAATTTGTATCTAAATATAATTTCCAAAACACACGAATTAAAAAAAAATCGAGCGAAAATTACCGGGCAAAGCTCGGTCAACCAGGCACTAATTATAATAGTTATATCTACCTTTGTTAGTATTTCGTGTTGAAAGTGGTTTCACAAGTGAATGGCGATTGTGATTTGGTGTTTTTTTTTTAATTTGACTGATTTTAATATTTGATAATAATAAAAATATTTTAAGATCTAAATGCATTGCGACTAGTCACATGCCTCTAGCAAAGCTTAAATAATAAAAATACTTAATAATTATAGCATAAAATTAAAAAAAGAGAACGGGAATTTACTGTTAATTAAGTGCTTCGGTATTTGCTTTTAAATTCTTCCTCTCAGATAACATTAGTAGAACAGTTCTCCGCTAGATGGATTGATGACCTGGTAATACATGAATTATGCAGGAAATAGATGAATGCAGGAAGTTTAGGACCGTGGCAGTTTAGGTGGCATTTTTGGGTGAGGAATAGTTCAGCTATGGACTTGTGAAGGGCTATAATAATGATGATTATATGTAATATATAAAGTATAGGGTTGACAAGTAAAGTGTATTTCTTTGTAAAACAATGTTACAATTTATTTTTGGTTATATTTAAAAGATCCTTAAAACTGTAAAATAATGATAGATAAAAAGATGTACTTTAATAAAAATAAAGGTAGGGTCTGCGTTGTTAACAATATGTAATTCTTGCTTACCCTAATAACAGTAGACGTTGTTGAAAATAGGGAATAACCCCAATTTTTGACACTTTTTAAAATAATTTGTTAGAAAAACAGCCCATGTTATAAATGCGTTTGCGCTGTTCTTTATCTTGTAAAGTTGTCGAGATACCTAATTTAGATAGTCATGTAGGAATAACGTATTCATTGTGCAACAAACAACAACAGCTTCAGTGGATAGAGTCTGCAGAGCAATCAAACTTGCCTCCCTCGGGTCTCGCTCGGACACTACCAACCTAATCATTTTTCGCGCTAACAAAATAGAAAGACTGATGCATATTTCACGTATTATTAGCGAGGTTGCATTATTGAGTTTCCGAAGTTAAAGCTCCAGTCATAACAAACTGCAGTTGATATGGCAGAGCCGTGTAGTCCTATGAAGTATGGAGTGTTCAATTCCATTTTGAGAGACGTTATGTTCATTATCAAGTTGTTGAATAGGTACAGTATGCATTCACTTACTCTTGAATACTACACATTGTATAAAACTATTTTTTGTCTTTACGGATTTTATCGCGTTTATTTATCTTACTGTATACAGTATAAGTATATATATTATTTAACTTACGATTTGTTAAAAAATAAAAAAAATAATTTTAAACTGAAGGTAGCCTTGGTTAACTATGACATTGGGTGCGTTTGGCAGAAAAAAGCGCTAGCAAGCGCTTACAAGCGCTAAAATAGTTTTTGGCCAGGACACGATTGCTACTTCAGTAGCGCTGACACAATCCGCCATTTTGCTTATTTAATTTGTTTGTTTTGAAGTAGAGTTTATAAGTTGTTTTGTGCAATATTAGTTTTAAGTAATATAATGACATGAATAAACATATACATGTTATTAAAAATTCATGATTGGTAAGTTTTTAATATGAATACTTTACAAACATATATTTAAATTAGGTTAGGTTCCCCGGTTAAAACTAACATCGTGTCCTAGAAGAAAATAGCTACTTACGATTTGACAGCACTTACCGCTTACGATCGCCATTTTGTTTACAAGCGCTTGCTAGCGCTTTTTTCTGCCAAACGCACCCATTGAAACGTCGAACACCCCATGGGTGCTGCAAAGTATACTCGCAACGTCGGGCATATAAATAAGTTAATTAAACGCGATCAAATCTGCGCCCTCCTTTCTGCCTGCGCCCTCCTTTCTGCCAAGGAGGGTCGCGTTCGTATACGGCTTAGAGATCTCTAGTCAGATCGTTAAGCCAATTCCTAAAAGGTTGGGTTTAGTGGGTAAAAGTCACCACATAACCACGCAGCCGGCTGCGTGGTATGCTATGAGCATTCCCAACCTCCCTCCCCCGCTTTCCGGAGGGTTGCCCATATTTGCTTCGGGCGCAAAAAAAAAGCGATCAAATCCGTAAAAAGTATATAGTTTTCATTAAAATACTTAGTGTTATTTCTAAGTAAGTAACTTAAAACGAATTTTGATCTGGATGCACTTGCACGCGATGCACTCCATTTGCTACATATATTCAATTGATATAGACTGATAAAGTACGCGATTTAGGCGTTATCACTCAATTAGGTTACTGAAACGTAACTATGATATCCGCATTAGAACCAAAGGAACCAACATAACCCTATAGATCGGTTAGCTGAAGGGGCAATTCATAAATATATGCATATAGGTAGAAGAATCGAGAACCAATGGTGGAGAAAGGTTTTCGAGTGACAGCTTCGAAAGCGAAATATAAGGCAGCCTCCCACTAGATGTAATGACAACCTGGTAAGTCATTCAGGTGACTCAAGACCGTGCATTGTAGCGGAGGCCTATGTACAACAATGGACTTGTGAAGCGATATTTATAGAATTATAGAAAATGAATGCTTTCTGGTAATGTCAATCCCAATTTCATTCCCTACTTATATGGGGCAAGATTGTGTGCCTTCAAAAAAAAAAAAAGGATAACGGTATCCGTCCTATTGCTGTTGGTTCTACATTTCGACGCTTAACTTCAAAATTAGTTTGCAGGCACATAATCTCAAACCTTAAGACAAAATTTCAACCTACTCAACTAGGCTTTGGCACCAAAGGTAGCTGTGAGGCGGCGGTACATTCGGTGCGTACTTTCTTAACTAATTCCAATGCAGATGTTCTTCTGAAGGTTGATCTTAGAAATGCTTTTAACTCTATTGATAGGATAACCCTGCTGAAAGAAGTGGCTAACAATACCCCTGAAATATATCATTACGTTTGGCAATGTTACAGTCAAAATTCAAGCTTGTTTTATCAAAACCATATTATTGAGTCTGCTGTCGGTGTTCAGCAGGGTGATCCATTAGGTCCAGCTCTATTCAGTTTGGGAATTCAACCTATTATTTCAAATTTAAAATCCAAGCTGAATGTCCGGTATCTGGACGACGGTACACTGGGAGGTAAAGCAGATGACGTCCTCAATGATCTTACCCATATTTTTCAAAATTTTTAAAATATTGGTCTTGAACCAAATACAAATAAATGTGAAATATTTATTTCTAATAATTTATCTAATTCTAACAGAGATACCTTAATTCAAAATTTCAATAAGATTTCTCCAGGAATAAAAACTGTCAATTCGGAATCGCTTTACCTGCTTGGTGCTCCGTTGTTTTTCGATAGTTAAACCTGTTTTAAAAACAAAATTTGATCAATTTTTAAATCACGTTGATAAATTATATATTTTAAACCCCCATATTGCCCTTACCATTTTAAAATATTGTCTCCTTGTACCTAAATATACATACTTGTTACGCTCAAGTCCAGTCTGGAAATGTTCGGATATTTTAAAAGATATTTGATATATGTAATCTTAAAATTGCTTTAGAAAACATTCTAAATTTGAGATTAAATACAATAGCCTGGAATCAAGCCACTTTATCTATCAAATTTGGTGGAATTGGTGTAAGAAATATTTCTAGCGTCGCATTGCCTGCTTTCCTTGCTTCCGTGCATAGTGTCAATGACCTATGTAACACAATTTTAAATAATAAAGTAGACCTGTGCTTTGATGCGGAGGCAAAGCGAACATGGCTAACGCTCTGTCCCGGTGAAAATGTCCCACTGGAAGTTAACCAACAAAAACAGTGGGATATTCCGTTGGTACGGAGTGTCCAGAAAAATTTAATTTCAAAATTTCCATATTCAACAAGATCAGGCTCGCCTTCTAGCTGTTTCGACTAAGGAATCTAGCCACTGGTTACATGCTCTACCATCAAGTAATCTCGGCACATTGCTTGATGGGGAAAGCTTGCGCATCGCCGTAGGAATCCGGCTAGGAGTGGCTATTTGTCAACCTCACCAGTGCCCCTGTGGTAGCAGCGT